CCTTTATATTATTGTAGTAAAATAAAATTATGTAGTCTGTTTCAATACACCTTAGTTTTCTTCATTTATTAGTGTTTAAGTTGGAACTTTGCAGATTAAGTCTGGACTTGTGATTCTATGATAATAATTGTGGAATTGGGACTTATTCCATCTGAATTCCATATGGAAAAAGTATGGATTCCATCTAAAAAAGTATGGAGTCCATCAGCTATTCCATGGATTCCATCTGAAAGAAGTATGGAGTCCATCAGCTATTCCATGGAATCCATCTCCAGAAAGTATGGAGTCCATCAGCCATTCCATGGAATCCATCTCCAGAAAGTATGGAGTCCATCAGCCATTCCATGGAATCCATCTCCAGAAAGTATGGAGTCCATCAGCCATTCCATGGAATCCATCTCCAGAAAGTATGGAGTCCATCAGCCATTCCATGGAATCCATCTCCAGAAAGTATGGAGTCCATCAGCCATTCCATGGAATCCATCTCCAGAAAGTATGGAGTCCATCAGCCATTCCATGGAATCCATCCCCAGAAAGTATGGAGTCCATCTGCCATTCCATGGAATCCATCTGGAATTCCTGGAATCCACCCCCCTTCCATGCATTCCATATGGATTAAGCCGGGGAGGGTAAAGTACAGCTGTCATGGGCAGTTGTGATTTCGCCACATATGCGTTGGGCTGGTCGTGTCATCGTGTGGTTCGCTACGTAGGCATTGGGCTGGTCCTGCCGTCCTGTGGTTCACCAAGTCAGCAGCGGCATTGCGGGGTCCCCTACCTCGTTGTTGTCCTGACTTGCCATGTGGGAGCTGGATTAGCTTTGGTGTCAGGTTCAGATTGCGGCCATTGGGCTCACCTGTTCCTCATGGGCGTATCACATCCCCTGCGAAATCCTGCGCCACTTGGTTTCTGCCACCGCCTCATTCTCAAATCCATAGTCGGTGTTGCTGGCTTGCATCTGGAGGCGTGACCATCGAGATCAGGCCACATATTTCAATGAGGGGAGGGGCAGGAAGAAAGTGTGGGGTGATCAGGTACGCGCATGGGCAATGGTGGGGGTAAAGAGAGCTGTGACGGTGGTTGACATTGCATGTGTGACAGAAGGATCCAGTAAATACAGATAAATACAGTAAGCATAATAATCTTAAATTTAATAATGGCCCGAATCGGTTCGGCAGCGAAAACCAGAAACGAAAATCCGGAGTAATATTTTGTTATCTCTTGCAGGAAGATATTTTCGTTTTCGCTTCTGGTCTATACCATTTGCACATCTGATGAAGAATTTTTTGTGATGATGAATGTGTTGCACTGGCCGCAGAAATGGCTGCTGGCGAACGGAAAAACGAATGGTGCTTTCCTGCTGCCCTGGCCTGGTTTGAGAGTCGGCGGTCGAATGGGCCAGACTTCTGTATGAACCAGTTACAGAGAGCAATGTATTTGTATAGATGGGAACCAAATGAGAAACATTTTTTTTGTGAAGTGATGGGTAGCTTGTCGTAACAGGCTGGGATGTGACTTGGCGCTAGTGTTTGAAAGTCCGGTCCAGTCCGGTTATTGAGCCCTCAGGGGCTCTAACCGAGACCGAGACCAGTTACCTTGTGCCACGAAACCCAAAATAACCGAACCGGACTGCTACTAACCGATATAATCGGTTAGTAACGGTTAGCGGTCGGTTACATGACCGGTCCTAACCGGTTATTTCTCTGTACTAACATAATTACAAACCTATATTATATTTCTAATACAAGCATTATGCTGCATGCACCAGCGAGGCGCGTGTAGGTGAAACACCGCCTCACATGATGGCCCAATGAAGAGAGAAAGAGAGTACTCAATCTGTGAGCCTTTCTCATCACAACCTACACATCCGGCATATTTCATAATTTATAAACAACCTCGCAGGTCGAGTACACCCGACCTGCGAGCGTTTCTCATGGATTGCCATTGTTGTATCAATGTCACATTATCACACATGTGACGACAGGAAAATAGTCACTTAAATTTCGATTCACCATAAATATGTCAATTCTCCACTAAAAAATATGATTTTTGGATCGTTAGAAAGCGTTTAAACAGGGGAATATTTGTGTGTAACGTTAGGATACAAAGACCGGTTATAACCGGTCCTAACTGGTTTTTGTTTGGTCTTGAATATTTTGGGATGACACCTAACCACTAACCGGACCGCGGTTACGGTTAGGATCGGTTAGGTAATTTTTGCGGTCCTGATCGGTTACGGTTCGGTCCAGTCTCGGTTATTTTCCGGTTAACTAACCTAACTTCCAAACACTACTTGGCGCGAAGTACTGGAGCCCGCTTCAAAGGCCAATACAGTTTCACTTCCCGTTTCCTGAAAAATGGGACTGTAATTGCAAGCTACTATCGTATGAATTTGAATCTACAGACACCCAGAGTCTCTTCTCATTGTAGAAAAGTAAAATTGAGAACAACCCCTTGAAATATCTTGAAACGGAAGCAAATTCACGATGGTAGCAACGTCATACAAACGATCAACCCGGGTCAGGTTCGGTATTTTATTTATAGATGGGGACTTGTAATTGGTTCCCTTGCAATTGGGGACAACCACCGAGGATAAGAGATACTCAAGGCTTGTAATTATGGACGCGTCTCACACATGCATGCATAAAAATTCCACAATCAGCAAACTCCGTCGTCTAGGAAAGTAAAAACCACCCCTACCCCTCTGGTCAAAGGGGTCAAAGGGGCCAACGGGTCCCTAGAGTCTTAACCCATGGGCCATCTAGGTTTGTTTTTGTAGCCCGTTGTGCGTTGACGTGTTGAAGTATGAGTAAAAATGAAGGGTCCTGCGGCCTGCCGCAATGGCTATGAATAAAACATTGGTGTGTTTCCCACTGCGACGACGTCATTCCTATCAACTCGCAGTCATGATCAGTTGTTATTATTAGGTAGTACATAAGTAGTTGGGCCGTGGTGAGAGTGTTGCAGTATTGATAAAACTTTGTTTTGAAGGCAGAGCCTGCCGGCGAGCCGATTCACTTGATTTACAATGGGCACCTGCCAGTGAATAAAAAGGTTAGACCGTGAAGAGACAAAAGAACTTACCCGCTGGGCTCTGTCCGACAACGGAGATAAAAATATACCTACATAGTTGCCGGACACCGTGTAGGATTGAAATTATTTTCAACACGAAAAAAAAAATTCCGACGCCAGTGCCAGTCGTCATAAGGATGTGCGTGTTGGTCATCCCGGGAGGATCTTTGAGCAGCACGCGGGGCGAGGACCTGCAGATGTAGGATTCAGATATGAGTTTTGACTTGTGGTATTGTTGACTTGCATAGTTGTACTGTTTCGTGAAGTCTTTCACAATACTAATTCAAGTCAGCGCATTCCGGGCCATAAAACCACGAGACTCTATAGCGTCCAAAACGCAACGGTCACCACCCCGTCAGACGCCAATATCATCATATCGTCGAACAACTGACAGTTGAACGGCTGTCACCTTGAACTTTCAAGTTCGGCCTGTCCCGACGGGAGTCACAATGTACCTGAGCTTTGTGTGGAATCGAACAGCCTGCTTGGAGACTGAGAACAGGTGAGCCGGCAATGGCAGTTGAATATTGAATGACAAGGTTGAGTGTTGACTGTCACGCCGGTTGACGCGTCGACGTGCCTTGAGCTTGGGCGGGGTGCCTTCCTTTGTCCTGGGCCTTGGCTAGCCTTGGGTAGATAAACGCCAGACGCCAGTGCCTTGCTTTTTGCACGTGTGGGCAGACGCTGGTGTAGTGTGGTCAGGTTTTGTAGACGCGTGCGCTGCGTGGTTGGTGGATAGATAACAGGGCCACCGCTATCTCTTTTTGTTTCTTTGGGCAGGCTATGCTTGAGATGAAATGAGGTTCAATTGAATTGAAAAAAAAAGAGTTATGAGGGTGTAAGGAGACGTCGACTTTGCTCCGGATAAGATTGTTTCCGAATGAGGGCCTTGGGTTCAGGTTATTTACTTGCCGATTTTCTTGAACTCTGTGCGAGCTGCTTGGCAAGTGCTTTGCACGTGTTGGCAGAGCGCTGCGTGGTTGGTGGATAGATAACACGGGCCTTTTTTTTTTAATGGCTAGCTCGATGCTCGAGATGAAGTGAGGTTTAATTTTTTTTAAAATGGGGGGTACCGATTCTTATCGACTTTGAATGCTCCGGATAAGGTTTGCGATTTCCCAAAAGCGCCAGGTTGTCTACTTGCCGATTTTCTTGAGGCTGCTTGGCCTGCACTGCGCAGATGGCGCGGTTGCCTGCCCCTGTGAGTCACTGCTTAGATTAGATCATGGTGACGTATATAGAGAGCGATCAGGGGGTGGTGAAAGTCGGCGGAGAGTAGTCACAAGAGCCTAGACGAGGAATGTAAAGGCCTAGGGAACCCGAGGAGGCCGACGGATGGATCATGAGTGGTGGTGATAGCTATGGGTACACTTGACACGACACGACGTCGCATGTCAATGTCAGTACGCCAATGTAAATAAGGTTGGGGGAAACATGGGCCTTTGGAGAGAAGCAGGGTGTAATTTAGAAAGCAGTGTAGGCTGAGGAACTTGAGAAGATGAACCGTTTTTGGGTGGGTTGGGTGACGAGGGGGATGGATCTCCAGGCACTTCTTCAAAGGAGATAAGCGACAAATATCCGCGATTCTGAGCTCGATTGAAAACGTGCGTGACTTTGTTCCTGGTGAACCAGTTCTCGGTACCTGACCGCGTTCGCTTGCAGTGGGAAAAGTGAAAGATAAAGTTCAAAAATGGATCTTCTCTTTGAGTAAGTATGTATAGAGATGATTGATATGACTGCTGTACCTGGCTGGCGTCAATAATCCAAACCCCTCAATCCCCCCATCATACTTATCTCTTACTTGGAATGCCCGTCCGCACCGCTGACGACCCACTCGACGAGGTGCTCAAGCCGCCTCCGGACGAGTCTCCAGAAGACCGTGTGGTAAGGCTGCAGAATGAGGCAGAGGCAAAGAGGGTTAGCTTGGCTATTGATGCTAGCATCAAGGCTGAACGACATGCGAGGAGGAAAAAGAGGATTGTGAGGCTGTTGTTGCTGGGTCAGAGCGAGTCTGGTGAGCTTTGTGGTCGTTTTGACCTACACTGTATTTATGAGAGTGTGTGTTTAGGGAAATCAACAACTCTACGACGTACGTCCACCTCTGTTGTTTTTTTGGTAGATATGAAAAGCTTATCGCCACCCTGCAGAATTTCAAAGACTGTATACACCCACCGCCTTTCGCGAGGAACGTATCCTCTGGCGCGCTGTTATCCAACTCAACATCGTCAGGTCAATACGCACCATCCTCGATGCTTTGACCTTTCCTTCAACTTCAACGTCCTCACCACACACATCACCGTACTCGTCCCCTCGTTCAAGGGCCCGCACCATCTCCCGCCCGCCTTTACCAAACCACCCACACGAGCAATACAATGGCAACGGGAACGACACAACACTAACATTCGGCTCTTCTTCGTCCCCCCCGCGCGTCAGACACCGACACCACCACCACTCGCCCCCGTCCAACCCAGACTCGGACGGAGACTCCGAGTCTGATTTCGTTCATCCCCACCACCACATACACCACCGCAGCCCACGCTCCACCTCCCCACTCACACTAGCCCAAAACACACCCCTAGACGCACTAAAAGCGCGCTTGTTACCCCTGCGCCATATCGAGGCTCTCCTCATCGCAAAACTCGTCCCGCCCAACGAGGAAGAGGCGACGCATTTCGCTCGTCCTGGTCCCCCTGGTGTTGGTGTTGGTGCTGGAACGAGTGCAGGGTCCTCTTCCGGGGCGAGTTCTACGTCGGGTGGGACGGGGAACCACGCGTATAGGAACCAAGAGATTTTCGTTAGGCCTGGGACGGGGTGGAAGGGCGGTTTGGCGCGTGCTAGGGTTACTTATCCTGGGTCTGGGTATGGGTACGGCGACGACCGCGGTGTCAAGCAAAACGGGAGTAGTGGGAAAGGGAGTAGTGGAGGGAATGGGACAAGACCAATGAGCGCAGGTACCACGGGTCTTGAAACGCAGGATGAGCCGCAGGAGGTGTTGAATATGTGTAGGAGGGATATGATTGCGCTTTGGAATGATGAGGGTGTTAGGGAGGTGTTGAGACGGAGGAAGATTAGGATTGAGGAGGAGTCGGGGTTGTGAGTTTTCCTTCTCTTTTTCCTTTTTGGAAACGTATTTCTGATGTTTTCTATGTAGTTTTTTGGACGACCTAGAGAGATTGACGTCCCTCAAGTATATGCCTACGGATGGTAAGTCCCCCCTTTCCCCTCCTTTCAACGCAACTAACCCATGTGAACAACAAACAGACGACGTCCTCAAAGCCCGGCTCAAAACCGTTGGCGTATCAGAGTACAAATTCGAGATGGAAGCGACTGCGGGGAGGGATAGCGGTACGGAGTGGAGGATTGTGGATGTTGGTGGGAGTCGGAGTCAGGTTGGTTTTTTTCTTCTCTTCCTTTGTTCGTTAGCCTTACCATAACTCCGTAGCGTCGTAAGTCCCATCCTCAACGCATCCCCCAAAAATCCTAATCTGAAAGCTAGCTACGTGGGCGCCCTTCTTCGACGATGGTACGCCCACCTCCCCCCATTTCTCCCTTCTTTCTTTCTTTTTTTTGCACAAGTTGATATGTATTGGACGCAGTGGATGCTATTATCTTCTTGGCACCCATATCAGGGTTCGACCAAGTCCTTTCGGAAGATCGCACAGTGAATAGGCTGGTGAGTTTATTTCTTTTTGGTTGCTTTTCTTTCTGGTTCTTTGTCTTGTTTTTTTGGCTCCGTTAGTTCGTTCGTTCGTTTGGTGGATTTGTTCGATGCCGCGACGTGGCGGTCCTTCCATCTCTGTTGTTTTTGCAGTCGATGTTGTTTTTGCTCTTTGCCTTGCCTTCCCTCTGCCTACCTCTTGAGGGTCAGCTTTGGGTATCATTCCAATGATGCTTCCCCTTGCCTTTCCTTTTCACTTGGATCCGCTTCGACCTTCGTGGTTTTAGCGGTTTTTGTTTTTATTGGTCTGATGCCGTTGTGCTTCTTGCCTTGCCTTCGCGTCTCTGGACTTCTGCCTGCAACGGCACTCTTCACTTCGTTGTTTTTGCACGTCAATGGGAAGGTTTCGGCCCCCTCCAAACCAAATCCTCGAAGTAAGAGTGAATGACTTCGATAATAAACGCGCGCTGGTTTTTGGACAATGTCAGGACTCAATGCATCAGAGTTAGGACAGTAATCTGTAGCATAGATGTAGTGACCTTATGTGCGCAATACATAATAGAAACCAACTGCAAAATTTGTCCTCTTACGACAACCACCACAATCAAAATACAATTTTCTTGACTTCTAACCATTTCTTGGCTATACCATGGAAAACAACGGCTTTGATTATAATGCGCTCAGAGGTACAAATCCAAGGTTCTCAATGTCACAGACTTCGGACCCGTCAACGACAAAAGTCAAGCCGAAGACGTTCTCAATGACGCAGGGTAAGCCACTTACACAGAACCCAGAAATCAGCTCGACACACAACGCAAATTCCTTCAAGTTCGCTCTGTTCAAGAACGCTGAAGCCTTGGCCATTCCTGACGCGTCGCGACGATCCGTGTTTTCTTTTCAAGCGCAACAACGAACGCAGGCTGAGAGTTCATTTCAGAGTCGCCTATCGGCACCACTAATTCTTTCAGACGTCCAAGAAGCATTGAAGGCACCCGTCAATATCCTGCAGGATCGCGACGTCGGACAGGGGGAGGCACAAGGTGAGCATTGCCACTCTTTCTTTCGTGAATATCGGTCTAATGACGACTACAGAGGGAAGAAGAGACGCGTCATCCCCGTTGACGGCCTCACCCAAATATGAAGGCCGCGCATACATCCATCCAGCATCGCATAAATCGCCGCCAAATCATCCTTCACCTACCGCCTCACACAGAGAAATAGAATTTTCGCCAGAATATAGCCGGGAAAACGACAGGACCGCATCTTTGACCTCGATTCCAGGCGAGTCAAGTAAGTTATCACAATCTACGCAATTTTGTTTGACCCATCATAATAGATCGCAAAACTAGTCGTCGACAATCACCCGCCTTATCTGGAGCGCATACATCTTCTTTGCCTCCGCCTTCACGCCCCAGCTCGCGGTCTCAATTAGTTTTTCCGCTATCAAAAAATGAATTAGGTTTCAATTCGATTCCAGATACGTCTCTCAAACCACAACAAACTCCTCCCATTGCGAAAAGGGATGTAAAGCGAGCGTTTAGCGATCTCCTTGAGCATGTTCGTTCCTTCATGGTTCTTCTTGCTTCCGTTCTTTTGAACTTTCTTCTTCTTCACAGAACCACCGATACGAGGCTTTTTTTGCGGAATCGATCGCACTGCAAACACAAAATGAGTATTTATCTCGAATGCGCAGTGCGGCGACGAAGGATCTCAAGTCTGCGCGTGAAGAGCTTTCCGCTACAGCAGCGCAATTGGCATCTGCTAGGTCGGAGCACGCCGCCGCTCTCCCATTGTTGAAATCAACGGAGAATGAATTAAGCACCGCCAAGTCTGACCTCGCCTTAACACGCTCGAATCTTGCGGATGCCGTCGCCGAAATTTCGACCCTCAAAAGCTCTTTGGAGCAAATGTCGCATGCTTATGGGCAGGAAAAGTTGGGGAAGGAAGTGGCTGAAAAGAGGCTCGTCACGGCAAAGCAAAGTCTGGCGACTCTCTGAGAAAAGTAAGTTATCAGTCAATCCCTATTGCTTCTTACTTATGCTAGCTTCAATAGCTACGAGTCACTTCATTCCTCCTTCGTCGCTCTTGGAAAGTCTCACGAGACTTCGGAAGCTTCGCTTTCACAAGCTGTCGCTGAGGTGACTGAAATTAAGCGGTCTGCGGCGGATGCCTTGACCAGTAAGGTTGCTTCAACGGGGTTTTCGCAATGTTGACGACGTCTCCGCTACTACTAGGTGTTGGACCCCTCCTTGAAGTAGGCGGTGGCTTCTCCCGCGTATCTGAGATGAGAGATACCATTCAAGAACTCCAGGGAGAGTTGGGCTCATGTAAGCTCGTTCCTGCTCTTGTTCTTCACCCAATCGTTCGTTGACCCTCTACAGCCCAGCGCGTGACTGATCTCCTCCGCGACAAGCTTCACCACCTATCTTCCCAGCTCGCGGATGCGCAAGCACGGATCAAAGATTTCGAGGATACGGAGCGCGGGACGCTAAGTGTTCTTCGTGATCGCCTGGACGATAAGCGGAGCTTGGAAGTTTTGTGCAGTGTCGGTGGGCATCTCTATCAACTGCCCTTGTTTGTATGGACATTTATGTTTCCGTTTTCTCAAGGGAGCAAGGTAGAAGACCTGACGGACCGTCTGGCGAAGCACGAACGGGAAAGTATCGACGCCCTTGCTGAAGCAGCTGGTGTAGAGGCAAAGCTCATCGCTGTCACTCATGAGTAGGTTCTAACTTTGTGCTGGAATGTTGCCGGACGCATGAACTATCCTTTTAGACTGCAGAACCTGAAAACTTCCTCATCAGCAAATCTCATTGAGTTGCAGGAGCTGAGGGTCATCAAGGAGGAGTGAGTGTACTCACCTACCTTTCTGATTCACATCCGCTTACTGGCTTTTGAACAGGGGTCTTTCGAAGTTGCTTGCATCTCAAGAAGTCATCAACGCCAAGGAGAAGGAGATTATCGGTTTAAAGGCAGAGGTCAAGGCTCTCGGCGAGTCGAAGGCTGAGTTGAGAGCGTTGTTAGTTTCCTCTTTTTTCCGTGTTTGGTGGTCTATCCTTCTGCTTCGGTCTGGTGAACAACGTCGTGTTGTGGTCTAAAGTGGATGACCGGCTACTGCCACGGGTGCGGATATTTCCGAATCCGAACACCCATGGCGGCAAACACGGGCCAGGAACAGACAGCCTTGAAAGGCCAGAGGACTGGGAGAGGCGAACCGTGAAGCAGCCAAGGGAAAACAGACGTTGTCACAATGATAAGGTGATGGGAGGACGGGAGAGGATTGGTTTTGAGAGAGATTTGAGTGATAATACCTTGGGACTTGGTTTGCGAGAGAGGTAAGGTGCCAAGGAGAAAAGGAGCTTGAACTGGAATCGAGAAGCTGCATCAGCTAGGGCATTCTGTTCAGTGGGGATCCAGTCTGGGGTGAAAGTAAAGTCGAGTATGCTTGCCAGACCAAGAAATTGATGAACTAATTCCATCATGGGAGATGACCGAATTGATAGATCTTTGATCGCTGAGTAAACATTGGTGTTATCAGTGTGAAAGATGATGTGTTTATGACGGAATTCAGGACCCCAGCATAGGATAGCATGGATTACTGCATAAAACTCTTTCCACTTGATGTCGTGTTTAGAGTATCGTTGTGGGATCCGAATTGAAAACCAGCTTGAGTTGAAAACACCGCCTGCACCTTTTGTACCGCTCGCATCAGTGTATATATGAATGATGGGGCGAGTCGGAGCCACAAAGTGAATGCCATTCCAAGACGAAGAGTATGTAATCCACCACTCGAGATCACGTCGGGTACTCCGAGGAATTCGGCGACGAGAAAAATCAGATTTGAACGTTGAGGTGAAATCAAAGAAGGAGCGGAGGAAGGCACGGGAGTATGGAATCACCTGAGAGCAAAATTGCAGATATCCGATGAGCTCTTGAAGTTCGAGCAAGGTGCAGTGTGTCTTGGACTTCCACTGAGATAAGAGAGAAGAGAGGAGCTCTAGTTTTCTGAGAGGTAAGCGAGCCTCCATTACGTGGGAGTCAAGTTCAATTCCAAGGAATTCTAGGCAGGTAGTGGGGCCTTCCACTTTGGAATCCTGGAAACGTAGACCAAGCGAATCAGCTAATGACTGTGTCCATTCAAGAGCAGCGTAAACGATGTCAAGAGGGGTTTGTGGTGCGAAGATCTGTAGGAAATCATCTAGGTAGTGGCGGATAAATGCTGGAAGATGATGTTGCAAGATCCAATGAAGGGCTTCTGCAAAGAGGTTGAAAATATAGGGAGCAGATCGAGCTCCAAATGTAAGAAACTTTTCATAGAAAAAAGCTCCAAGCCACGTAAAGCCGAGAAGAGGCCAGTCAAGGGGACGTACAGGAATATGACGAAATGCTTGCTCGAGATCAAGTTTGATCATGAGCGAATCATGTCCAGAGTTGATGAGGTCGGAGACAGCAGCCTGAAACATGTCATAGGTAATTGAAGCTTCGCTATCTGGGATCCCGTCGTTGACTGAGGAACCACGTGGCCACGATAGGTGGTGAATTCGGCGAAGTTTATTGGAATGTTTGCGTGTGGCAACGCCCAGGGGCGAACTACGAAAATTAGGAAGAGGTGGCATATCAAAGGGGCCAGAAGCACGACCACGTGAAAGCTGAAGCTTGATGTCTGAAACAATCGCTTCTGGGTGCAGAAATGCGCTTGATAAGTTAGAGCACGATTGACTGATGTTCCGATCTCCCGAGAACCCAATGTCACAACCATGATCAATGATATGCAAAATTGAATCTACAAAAACACGATCCGGATAGTCCTTGAGAAAAAATTCCCATGCATCCCTCCTCAGCGTCGATGTCACACGTGGAAGTGAAGAGGTGTCGGCAGGTGCCATGTTAATGCGCGGGTCTGAGTTCGGACGTGAAGGTGGGTGATTAAGGGGAAGAAAAATGGATGAATGGGGGAGAGAAATTATGGGAGTGGAGACAGGTGATGTTACTGCAAAGGGGGACGGTACGGTAGACTCTGAGAGGAGCAGTGGCTTGGTACCTTGACGAAAAATGGAGGATAGCTCCGTAGCGTGTGAGGATATAGCCTCTGATGAGGAAGAAACAGCCGAACTGGCTGGGAAAGCTGTAGTGTTGCCGCAAGGAAAGGTGCCTTGAAGGCAAGGTCACCTTGAGGCGATGCAAAAGGAAATTGTCAACGTCAAGGAGTGTCAAGGTGCATCAAGGTAAATGTGCCACTTCGGGAAAAAATTCTCATAGGCCAGCGGCACGGCCGGGCCACTCAGCCTTTCTTGTGACGAGTTTTGTCGTTCCATGCGCCCAAACTTGTTGCTCGACGCTGAACATCGGCACTCCACTGCGCCGATCAATTTTTTGAATCTCATTTCTAGTTCTACTCTGGAACCAATAATGCCTAGTTTCATGTTTTTCAATTTGATCAATTGAACGATGCTGCTATGGCACTATCAGGTGAATAAAAAGAAGAAGACAATGTACCACGTCATGTTGGATGTTTTTCCAGTTCAAGCATCCTCTGCTCCATCAGAGTGCATGTTCTTGTAAAGCAAAGAAACTGACACCCTTTGCCGAAACAACCTTGCACCGGAATTGATGGAGAAGCTTCAAATTCTCAGATTCACATCTGCTTCAGAAAGGACGGACTGCAATGACAAATGGGTGTTTGTTGAGGAGGAGATCTATGTACCCCATGTTTCACCCCTCTGTATGGATGATTTTTTCGTAACTTGTCAATTGCTCGTCAACTCAATACCCTAAAATTACTTCTTGGCTCGCCATGTGCATATTTAGTTGACAGGTCACCTCACTCAACCACAGGGACCCTCTGTTGACCAGTACTCAGATGTATGTTACAATAATACATGATATAGTTATGATTCTACGTGGCTGCAAACTTGCTGCAAGCTGATTCTCTTTCGTTTTCCTAATCTGGAAAATACCTTGAGGTCACATCAAGGTAACTCAAGGTGACAGGGCTGTCACCTCAAGGTGACCTTCACCTTCCCTTGCGGCAACACTAGAAAGCTGCGACAGACTCGTCAAAGAGGAGCGGTACCGCTATTGCGGGACTAAGCTCGGCAGGGGTAAAGCAAGGCGTATGGAGCCGTGAACGCTGAGGCCGGAATCGTTTCGAGCGTTGGCGGTTGCCCCTTGATCTAGAAACACGCGTGAATGAAACCGGGTTACTGATGGATGTGGGATCAAGTTGCTGGGGGCACAAAAAGAGTTTGGAGCGTTGACGAGAGGTGCCCGAGACTCGAGAAAAAGGGCTAGAATCTGATGTCCAAGAAGAGCTGTGAGCCCAAGAGGGTCGGGGCATGTCTGAGAATGAGTGGCTCAGTTATGCAAGTGTTGGTCGTCTTCCTGGAGAAAAAAGAGCAGCTGCGTGTACTGCAAGCATGCTGTGAGATCAATGAAGAAGGAAGAGAGACTGTGCTAAAGCTACCTGCAAGCATGCTGTGAGATCAATGAAGAAGGAAGAGAGACGAGGAGTGGCTCGCAGATGCGACTCGGAGGCGACAAGTGCGCACGCGATCACATCACGTGAACGAAGAATTCCCTCCGCTCTTGATAGACCACCTTCAAACTCGTTTGAACGTTCCAACTTACGCAACACACACTACTAGGGTTGCGGAAGCTAAGAAAGCGGTCGCGGAGAAAGACCGCGAACTCAGAGCTAGGGATTCGTAAGTGATGGCGACATACCCTCTCGTATGCCTTTAACGATAATCTGTCCAGAAATAACTTGATTGAGCAAAAGGTCGAGGATCTGAATTCGCAGGTCGTTTCTGCAGAAGCTTCGTTAAAGGTGTACGTCACCCATTTACCACATTTCTGCCGTTGTAACACCATTTTTGTTGAACAAAAGAGTGGCTCGCACTGGCTCAATCCGAGGCTCGTGAGCGTAAAGAGGAAAGCGACATTCTGAAGACAAAGGTTGAGAGCCTTGAAGTTGCCCGTACCGAATGGTACGTCTACCTTTTGGTCGTGTTTTATCCTCACCACTGATGAATACCGTTACGCTAGGGAGGGCCTGAATTCTAAGTTACAAACACAGATTCAAGAACTTGGTGCAAGAGAGGCGCTGGCTGTACAAAAGACCCAACTAGTTCAAGCTGAGATCAAGCCGGTCACAGCGGAAGCCAAGAAGGCCGATGAGGAAGCGAGTAAAACTATCGAATCGTATGTCGCTTGTTTCCTGACGTTAGTAATGGTTAGAACTGATGCTTCTTTCCATATCTTCAGGCTTCGTCAAGCGAATCGTCGGTTGGAGGTCGGCAATAGCTTGTACTTACGCATATTCATCACTGACATCGGTATTCTCAGAACCGGTTGGATGAACAAAATACGGCTCTGGTGTCAGCGACTGACACCAATAACATGCTCCAGGTAATGGAATGCACTAGCGACATGCGTGCTCTACTGACGTTACCATGAACAACGCAGGCTAGATTGGATGAGCAGGCGGCTGCTTTAACGCTAGCCAAGGACCAGAGCACTGCGAAAGAGGTGAAGTCCGCCATTTGTGATGGTACTTCAGTGATTATTGATATACTTCGGCCTTAGGCGGGCGTTCAAGAGATCGTTCACAACCTTAGGACGGAACTCGCCGTTATTCATGAACAGAAAATCGTGCTTGAGCGGGAGACCGCCAATCTGAAAACCTCATTTAATCAACTGACTCGGGAATCCGCGGCCTCGCTGGCAGCTGCTCAAGTGGACTTTGAGAAAAAGATGAACAAGCAGGAGAAGGCTAACGAGCGACTTGTCTCGGCGCAAGAGAAACGCGCTGTTGCCGCTGAGAAGGCGGCCACTCTGGCGGAGAATGACGCTAAAGAAGCAAGAGCGGCGAGGGAGGAGCTTGCTGGTAGGCTTGCTTTGGCGGAGATGTCTGTGATTGCGATTGCTGAGGATGGCGAGGCTGCGGCGACGAGGGAGTCTGGACAGCTGAAGATCATGAAAGCTCGAGCTGAGGACCTGGAGGCAAGAATGGGCGAAATGATGAAGCATGCGGAAACGCTTTTGGGTCGGTACCATGATACGAACTTGGTAAGTTCATTTTCTTGTGAACTCGTCCTGGCTTGATTTCAACTTTCGTAGACCGACCCCGAGAAGGACCTGGTGAACCATGTTATCCTTCAAACGCAAACGAGTTATGAACAGGACGTCGTTGCTAAGGATAACGAGCTTCGACGAGTTAGGTTATCGTATGTGTGTTGAAACCTACTGACCTCGATCTCCCAGCGTGAACACCTCGCGACTGGCCTCCATAGTCGAATCCATTCTTTGGAGGCAGCACTAGCGCAGATGCTAAATGAGAAGGCCAAGAGTGCCGGGCCAGACGCGAAGACCTTGTTAAATTTCAGGATGTGGCTTCCCTCGAGCCCAATCGACGAGTCATTGCAAGCTTTGGTAATGTGTTCATGAATACGCTCCTCTGATTTTATCTTTATTGGCTCTTTTCATGATAGGCCGATAATGCAATGGAGCAAACGATCGAACCTGTTCCCGACGCAGCGCAGCGCTCTTCACCAGATCCAGCCCACCTCTCTTTGCCGGCTCCAAGTCTCAAACAACAGGAAGAAATGATCAAACCGCCATCACCCATCTCGAAACCTCAGCCCAGGGCGACTAAGCAAAAGAAGAAGAAGAGCTTCAAGACCCTTGAGGACGCCGATTCGGACTATGAGTATGACAACAGGGACAACGATTTAAGCGACTTGTCCGATCTGGAGCCTTTGTCGCCAGCAGGGAGGTGCATGAGAAAGCGTGGTCGTTCTGTATCACCGCCAGCTACTGTGACCGTCGAGGAGCCTGTGAGGACAAAACGAAGATTGGTATACACGTTTCTATGCTCCGATATTCCTCCGCTGTTTTTCACCCCTTTTTTAAAATGTAGAGGGCCACAGGAGTTCAGAATTCGGCTGTCGTTACGGCGCTTGTCATGCCGTCCCCGCAGGAAGAAGTTTCGGTTTCGACTTCCCCAGCTGTTCAGAAGAAGGCCTCCGATGGGCCTGTCAAGACTCGCCAGAAGAAGCGCAAGTAGCTGGTTGGTTCTCGTTATCAATGCCCTGTTGGTCGGTCTTTTTGCGGTACTTGGGACTCTGTTTTCCTAATCTGACTCGCTTTTTCGTCTTTGGCCTGGGATTTCTCTTGGATTCGCCCTTTGGCAATTGCAACTGTCAACTCTTTGGCTGATCATGGACGTTTTGTCGCCGTGACGATTGTCCATAACTCTTACTGTGTTGCTCAAGTCATTTGTACATATGGTGGGACTGGGAAACTGCTTTTAGTGAACGGAAAAACGAATGGTGCTTTCCTGCCGCTCTGGCCTGGTTTGAGAGTCGGCGGCCAAATTTTGGGTCGGACTCATGCACGAACCAGCTAAAGAGAGCAATGTATTTGAATAGATGTGAACCAAATGAGAAAACGAAAAATTTGTGAAGCGATGGGTGGCTTGCCGTAACAGGCTGGGATACTCGGCGCGAAGTACTGGAACCCGCTTCAAAGGCCAATACAGTTTCACTTCCCGTTTCTCAAAACATGGGACTGTAGTTGCAAGCTAACTTACAAACCCGAGGAACCTCGAGACACCCAGAGTCTCTCCTCGTTGTAAAAGTAAAAATTGAGGTTGCATAACGGAAGCAAATCCACGATGGTAGCAACGTCGTATAAACGATCGACTCGGGTCAGGTTCAGATGGGGACAAGTTGTAATATTGGCTCCTTGTAACCTCTGCAACTGTGGGCGACTCCCAATCAGTTTAAATAACGGATTACGAAAAACCATGGGTCAATCCAATGCATTAAAGGCTCTAGGGACCCGTCGGCCCCTTCGATCAAAAAAGAAAAAGGAAAAAAAAAACGGGGTCGTGGTCGGGGTGGTTAACTTTACTTCCCTACAAATGACGAATAAATTTGGCTGATTGTGAAATTTATGCACATGCACCGGTGAGTACGCGTACATAATTACGACAAGTGAGTTATCTCTGCGAGAAATTGTTCGTTGACGTGTTTAAGTATGAGTAAACCGACTAGGGTCCTGCCGCGAGAGCAGTGGGGTGCTTTGAATAGAACATTGGTGTGTTTCCCACTGCGACGTCATTCCTATCAACTCGAATAGTGTGATTGAACCAAGGTTGAACAGCCTCAGGTTGTGGACACCCCAGTTTTTGGAACTTGCTAGTCAGTGGCCTGGGGTGAGTGGGATATCCTTACTTGTTGGGGTTGGCGGTGGCCCTTATGTACTTTCTCTATCTGTTCCAATGAACGACGAGCCGATTCAAAACTCAAAATTCATGATGAACTGCGAGTTGGGGATGTTGATTTTCCTACAACTCTCAACTCGATGACGTTTGATGAATTCTTCGATGACAGCCTGCCTCTGGAGGGTCCCAACTCGACGAGAATGTAGAAAGCGACCAAGCCATGGATCTAGCCTCGCAACAGCTTGACCGACATCCTGCCCACATAACCTCTGGATGAAAGCCCCGTATGCTGGAGTGAAGGAAGTGTTGTCTTGGTAGGGAACGGCGAAGCGAAAGCCCCATTGAGGGGTGTAAGGACCTGGTCTTCAGCCATTCCCCTGATCACAGTCCGCCTCTGAATAGCTCTGCCGTGATGGCCGTGCGGAATGGGAGGCCATGAGTCTACACCCACGACTCAACCTGCTCGTAACCTTCAGGAAATGCATCCCCAGGCATGGAGGGTAAAAACCGGCCATATCTAGATCTTGCTTGGACACCAACAGGTTCAAGGGCGTGATAGACGCATACACGAACCATACTCCTGATAGTTGAGTGGAAAGGACATAGCCCGCCTTGACAAATCCAATCTTCGGCAATCTCTTCGACGAGGCTGTCTTGGTGACGTGCTAGGACGGAATCGAGCCATAGTCTATGGTCCCTTGTCATACAACCAGCCCCAGCACCCTCCAGTAGCGTTGAAAACTGCGCATCAACGCTGGATCCGAACCTTTATAAACTCCCTGGACGACGATCTGCCTCAGCTGCCACTGGTCAAGAGTTCCAGATAAGTGGGGAAGGGTGTAGCACCGGGTTTCTAGGAGAGAGATTCGCGTACACTGCCCTGACGGGATGCATACAGAACCTGCTTCGGTATCGATAAGACCAAACATGGCAAGGGTGGGGTCCTATCCTTGGTAACTGCCTGAACGACAACCTGCCACGGCACACTCTGATTTAAGGGGGGTTTCTTGGCCTACACCATGCTCCAAAAAATAAAGGAATCGCATGTGTAATAGGGGACCAGAGATCAAAAGGAGGAGCGCGAGGAGGGGAAGCGGGATGATGGGGGTGCAGTGATGAAGCTATAGCATATACTGCATTGAGAGGAGAGCGTATAGTGGCCCCGTCTTGGTATCGGCAAGACGATACCAAACCAAAGAACGGGGTGTTCCGCGAATGTCAATCGAATCATGGGCAGGATGAGCGCATAGGGCACGGGTCTGATCTTTGGTAACTCTCTAAACAACAACCTGGCTCGATAGCCTCTTAATCAAGGGGGCTAAAGAGCTGAGTTTGGGGGTAAAGAGAAAGGAGAGCCCCGGCTTGTTCGGTGGACAATTTGCTCCTAGGACCTCCAGAAAAGATAGTAGGGGATCTAGACATGCAGAGTGTGGCTTTGAAGCGATGAAACTCGTTTCAGAGTGACGTTATGGGGAGGGAAGAGAGTTGGGACTGGTGGTTGTCGTTTGACAGTTCACGGGTGGCTTGTCGCGTCATACGAGGAAGGGTAAAGATGGCCCAATCCCTCCCCAACATCGCGAAGGCTTGACCAACGGGTATAGACTCGTGTAAGATGGTCTTGAAAAAACCGGACAGGGGCCCATCAGGCGAACGAGCGCTCAACGCTGATTAACGGTCAACGCTTGATCCACATCCAAAAATACGACCAAAAAAGAAAGACAAAAAAGAGCGAAACAACGAAGAAAAACGAAAAGACCAACTCACTTTTCAGCCAACGTCAACGGCGGCCTCTCTTTCTCCTTCTCCTTCTCCAAGGGCAAATTCATGAATCACCCCATGTCTCCCCTTCAAAACCGGGCTTCCCCTCCCCACCGAACTGCTCCTCGGTAAGCCAGCTCCAGCATGTAAAGACTGCTGCGTACCGCGCGCACTTAGAGGCGAGCGTGCCTCGTTATTCAAATTGATTGAGCTTGAAGTGTAGTAGTCCGGGGTCCGGTCAGGGCAGCAATAACATATAGAGCATTGTCTCCGGGAGGCTCTTCTTATGCTTGCAGGTGTGCCTGGTGAGGGTGAGGATGCGGATGCGGATGATGATGAGGTGATTGTTCCATCTAGGAGAGGGAGTGGTCGTGGACCGGGTGAGGCGGGTAGTATGCCTAGAGAGTGTCGTTTAGATTTGGTGGTTGATGAGTAGGAGGTCGATGGCGCTGTTGTGCAGAAAGTCCCCGCTTCTGGGCCAAACGTTCGCGAACCAACTTGGGCGAACGCGAACGCACCTTAAAACGAAACCCTAACCCTCGTCTGTTGTCCAACGAGCTTGCCCATCGTAAATGTTTAGATCTCCCTTTCCTGAAGGAATTCCCTTCAGCGCAGCCCGGAGCTCTCCAGTTCCAACCCCAACCCTCTCATCCAGCTGATGAACCAGCTCATCAGTCGAACACTGGTTGGCTGAGCTCGCACAAAACATTGCCCTTTGGAACATCCTTTCGATAATTGGTAATTGGCACGAGGGTGACACGTAAGGAATGAAGGAGGGAGTCATTGCCACCACCGTTTCATCCTCGACCTCATTCTTGAAAGAACGGGCTTGAAGACTGAGTGGAGTACTGAGCACCGGCTAGGCTCGAATTGCAAACTTGTATGTCATATGCCTGTAGAGTCGCGCCCTGAGACCCGATCGGGGCAGCAGATGGTGGAAGTGTGACGGTGGTAGTGTATATGCATCAGCTGGGGGGGAACTGGCGTTAGCGACATGGAGAAGAGAATTGTATAGAAGCAGGTTGAAAGTAGACAGGGGGTAGGGAAGCTGAGGGGAGGAGGCGGGGATGGAAGAGGAAGAGGATTGAAAGCGAAGAAGGGTGGAGAGAAGAGGGGGGTTGGAAAGACACCACAACATTCTACCCGCTTTGCGGAGGCAACCCAACTCCGCAACTCGCCTATCAAGTAATAAACAGAAAAAGCTCACCCAATCTCAACATCCCAAACGCTCAAAACCTTACCGCACCCTCCAGTTACGACGATCGAACTAGGCCGGCCACACCAATGAAGGAGTAGCGCATTCAGCTTTGACTTGGTCTTGAGCGGCCTTGTCTCTCTGTTGGTTTAGAGATTGACTGTGGCGCCACCGACGTGAAGGTGCGCTGTGTAGTTTGGTCTGGTGCGAGTCCCGGTCGTCTTGCTGGTGGTGTAAGCTTCCACCACGCCCGTTGCGCGAATCTCCATCAGGTTTGTGGCTCGAGCTCCCGCCATCGCGTTGATCCCTAGTTCCTAATATCTACCCGCCTAGTCCATTGAGGCGTTGAAATTCGAAGATAGCGAAAGAGCCGCAGACGTTAGGCGAGATTGAGTTGGTCCTGCCGCTTGATGTCGTTGTTCTCCGATCATCTGCGCCCGTCGATACCTCACTAGCTTTCCCAAGGATGAATAATGCGCCTAACTGTATACGCTGTCAGGAGGGATCACGCACAAAAAATCAAACCAAAGATACATACGAACAACATTGACGGCGCAAATCCTACGAAATGAGAAGTGAGCAAAACGGATCCAAGTTATAAAGATGCAGAGAAGAATATCACCTCCTCAACTACAAAATTTGTTTTAGGCTTTTGGCATCGTATTTGCGTGTCCGCGAAAGTAGCTAATAGGTTCATTGAGGAGATGTGTCTGTTGCGGAGGAACTGTTCTGAGGGGAAGGATATCGGTAGTCCACGCGCAAAACGACGATACGGGTCGACGTCGCAGTTCATCTTTCGAGTATGGTAGGTACGCTTCTCTGAACCGGGTTCCGAGCGCCCATAGGACAGGTGACAGAATTTTGAGCTGTGCTGTGTGAACGCTTG